CTCCCGCCGCCGCCCTACTCGCCAAACTGGTAGGGTGAGTCCGCTTACGCTGGCAGCCTGGAATGTTCGTACCCTTTTAGATGATCCGAGGAGCGACTGACCGGAACGTAAGACGGTGCTAGTGACTCGGGTACTGGCGCGCTACAAGATGGATATCGCCGCACTCAGAGAGACCCGGTTTTCAGAACAAGGCCACCTGGAGTAGGTGGGTGCCGGCTACACCTTCTTCTGGAGCGGTCGCCCAGGACAGAACGACGAGACGCGGGTGTCGCCTTCGTTATCTGAACGACATCGTGGGACGACTGTCCTGTCTGCTGCAGGGCATCAACGATCGTCTGATGAGCCTCCCCCTGCCTCTTCGGGGAGGCAAATCCGCTACCAACGTCAGCGCTTGCGCTCGGCCGGTGACCAGCCCTGACGCCGCATAGGACGAATTCTACAAGGACCTGCACGCCCTCCTGATGACTGTGTCGAAGGCAGATAAGTTGAGTGTCCTCGGTGACTTCAACGTCCGCGTCGGCACAGACCATGCTGCCTGGAGAGGAGTACTAGGTCCTCATGGTCTCAACGGCTCCAACGACAATGGCCTGCTCCTTCTCCGCACCTGCGCAGAACATAGACTCATCCTGACTAACACCATCTTTTGCCTGCCGATGCGAAAGAAGGCCACCTGGCGGTATCCTCGGTCTCGTCAGTGGCACCTGCTGGACTATGTCCTCGTCCGGAAGCGAGATCAGCGGGACGTGCTGGTGACGAAGGCGATTGCGGACGCTGACGGGTGGACCGACCATCACCTCGTCATCTCGAAGATGCGTATTCGCCTACAGCCTCGCAGTAGACCACAAGGTAAGCGACCCCCAGGTAAGCTAAATATTGCCTTGTTGTCTTTGCCCGCTCACCATCTTCATTTCAGCAATGAGCTGGCTCAACGGCTAGACAACCCTCCTATCGCTGCCGCCGCTGCCGCCGCTGCCGAGAACGCCTCCGTGGAGAACCGCTGGTGTCAACTGCGAGACACGGTCCAGGCGACGGCGCTCGCCGTCCTCGGTCGCCCACGCCGCCAACATCAGGACTGGTTCGACGACAACGACGCCGCCATCGGCAATCTGCTCGCCGAGAAGAACCGCCTACACAAAGCCTACGTAGACCACCCCACTGTCGACAACAGAGCTGCCTTTTACCGCAGTCGGCGCCATCTTCAGCAACGACTGCGCGAGATGCAGGACGCCTGGACTGCTCGCAAAGCTGAGGAGATCCAAGGATACGCGGAGCGCAACGAATGGAAGAACTTCTTCTCCGCGATCAAAGCTGTCTACGGTCCGCCGACGAAGGGCACTGCTCCTCTTCTCAGCACCGACGGTAGCACCCTCCTGACTGAGAAGACACAAATTCTACAGAGATGGGCCGAGCATTTCCGAGGCGTCCTCAACCGCCCCTCCGCCATCTCCGACGTCGCCATCGCCCATTTGTCGCAAGTGGAGACCAACGTGGACCTCGACCTTCCGCCATCGCTCCAGGAAACCATCACGGCCGTGCAGCAGCTCTCCAGCGGGAAAGCACCCCGATCGGACACAATCCCTGCTGAGGTCTACAAGCACGGAGGTTCCCAACTGATGGATCACCTGACTGCGCTCTTCCAGGAGATGTGGCGCCAAGGTAAAGTCCCGCAAGATTTCAAGGACGCAACAATCGTGCACCTATATAAGCGAAAAGGAAACCGCCAAGTCTGCGGCAATCACCGTGGCGTCTCCTTGCTGAACATCGCCGGGAAGATCTTCGCTCGCATCCTCCTCAATCTTCTGAATAATCATCTGGATCAGGGTCTTCTGCCGGAAATCCAGTGCGGCTTCCGCCGTCATCGCGGGTCCATGACATGATCTTCGCCGCCCGTCAGCTTCAGGAGAAGTACCAGGAGAGGCGAACACTACTTCATTCTAACTTCGTGGATCTGACGAAAGCCTTCGACACGGTGAACCGTGGAGGATTGTGAAAGATCATGCGGAAATTCGGCTGTCCCGAGCGATTCGCTCAGATGGTGCGTCAGCTCCACGACGGCATGATGGAGCGGGTCATGGACAACGGAGCTGTCTCAGAGGCATTCGCAGTGACCAATCGTGTGAAGCAGGAATGCGTTCTGGCGCCCACCCTCTTCACTCTTATGTTCTCTGCCATGCTGATGAACGCTTACCGTGACGAATGTCCCGAGATCCGCATCGCCTATAGAACGGAAGGCCACCTTCTCAATCAACGGCGGCAAAACTTCTCGTCTGAGGCAGATGACGTATCATCGGAGAGTTTATAAATCTACGTTATGCTGCTGTTTGGTCACGAAACCTAAGTCAGTTTCCAGATGCAGCGGCCGGCCATCCATGAAACTGGCAAGCTGATGATACCCTGATAATCAACGACTGAAAACTGTTTGAAGAATTTGAGGAGGAGAGCACGATGCGGAAACACGTTCACACGCAAGGAACGTCAAGATAGCGGCTAGGCAAGGTTTCCTCACGAGGTGGAGGGTAGTATACCACAACAGGGATTATTTAGATGTACGAGGGGAGAAAAAAGCGGAGGACATAGTTAAGGGACTCGAAGCAACGCTTTTTCCCTATTTCAGATATTCGTGTCTGTTGTATACTGTTGAAGTCAGATGCCGCACGACAAATACATACGTTTTATTCTGCGATTACTTTTCTACTATTTCAACTGACAGCTATCAGTAAGTCTTTGTGGATGCGAGTAAACAGTGTCGTATATGCACTGAAATGAGTCATGTTGTTAGCGCATATTGGTGGCGCGAATCGCGCAAACAGTGAACGTAACTTATATAAGGTTGCGTACTGAACAAACATTTGTTTTAGAGTTACAGGATAGCATACCAGCAACACAGGTACTAGTTAAAAGCACAGACACGTGTGTTCCGCAGATATTCTGCCTCCGAATGGCACAGCTTTGGGTCCCGCAACATTTCTAGTAGGCTTTCTGGTAGGTACTCCCGTTTAGAAGCTGTTGTTTTCTTATTTCTGCGGAAATTAATTGCTGACTGGTACCTGCGCTACTAGTATGGTATCCTTTAACGCTAAAATATACCACTAGGGCCCGTCGGCAGTTAACGAATATTACGCGGTCATCCCTCTGTGGGTGATGGAATTCGGCCCGAATATTCATACATCAGTCTCGGTCTGCGCCTACAGACCTTAGAATATACTGACCTACTCCAAGTTCGCAGTTGCTTTCTGAGGAAATTAAAAAACAACAAAGCATTTTTCTTTCATTGAGGCCAGTGTTCGATCTTATCACGTTAGCTAAGAAATGTACACAGATGCTGCTGAAGGTTTTTAGTACTCTAAGACCCAGTATTCACTAGTTCGTTTTTTGTGTGTCTATTGGGACCCGATACTGTCCATGGTGTGTGCCACAGCAAGGTGGGCATAGGGACGTTAACTTGCGGGCTAATTAGTTTGTAGTGATAGTAGACTTGTCCTGCATCTACCGAACTCTGTCCTTCCTCATCCACCTCTGGTCTTCTTGACCCTGATTTGACGCCTGACCCAGGTGGGGAGTGGGGAAGAGAGAGTGTGGTAGATGCTGTGAAAGTTCACTATAGATTTAAACTAATTCACGCGCAAGTCACCGCTCCTGATCTTGCTGTGGAGCACACGGTGTGAACATCGTCAAACTCGACCGTCGAACTGTCGGGCCCAGCGGCAGGACAAAGTCAGAAAGGCTAGAGTCGGGATTGGAGGACGTGACTGATATAAAGCCAACTTCGTGTGGCATACATTCTCGATTTGTGCCCGATGGACCAGCTTTTTAGCGAAACAACAAAGGGACTCGGATCTCAACAGACTGGGGATGTCATAGAGGTCTTATCCAGAAGGAGTAAAAGGTCTGAAAACGTTTGCTATACCAGCCTCAGCAAACCCTGGCCCTCGCAGCCTGGTATGCGCTGGCAGTTCTCTTACACCAGGTTCCCTGCCGGTAGATGCGCTTACGTTCCCGCTAAGTATACAGGTGGTGGGCATGGCTGTCTAGTCATTCTCGTCCTTCTGACTCCTGTTGGGATGTTGTTGGTGAAAAATCCTGGTCAATTGTATGTTGTGTATCGGTGGGTGTGGTGGAAGGCCTAGATGCGGGTCCGGCCGTGCAAGCCACCTGCGCCCGTCCCCACCTCCGGTCTTCATGGCTCTGTCTTGATGCCGGGTCCAGGTGTGAAGCGGGGAAGAGAGAGTGCGGTAGATGCTGCGCAAGTTTACTATCATCATAAGCTAATTCACGCGTAAGCCACAGTGCCTGCGGCACCTTGCTGTGTAGCACACGGTGGACATCGTCGGAACTGACAGTCGAACTGCCATCCAGAAGGAGCCGTTGTAGCCTGATCCTCCGATCGGGTTATCCCGTCGATTGGCAGCCCTCCAAGTCACAGATAGTTTAGAGGCGCATGAGGTTGTTCATGGTAAGGAACATGCGCTAAATGCCGTGGAGGCGGAGTCACCAAAGTCGACCTCACTCTCGCTTCCCTCTCGCCAGCACCAGTTCACTGTCAAAATTAGTCAGTCATTTAATGCGGGGATTGGGCGTCAGTGGCTGACGGGCCCAAACGGCCCGTCTGCGAGTGCCCTACACGCGACCTAGCCTCCAGCACAAAATAACATGTTTTGGCACAATGGGAGTAGACGGCTCGGACCTAGCATGCGTGAGAGTGCCACAGAGGCGACATCAAGAAGGAATCATTGAGTCACTCGACAAGGGCACAGACAGGTCTGCCTGCGATGTCTGTGTTGTACCGTTAGTTGACAACCTTCCAAGCCATGAGGCTTAGCGCGTCCTGCTAGCTTCAGGCGCGTCAGTTTTGTTATATTGGGAAATACGTTGAAATGCCGTGGAAGTAAAATCCCCACAATCGGCCTCTCTCGTGCACCAGTCGAGCCTCCGAAACAGTCAAGTGGCTGACAGCCTCGGTCAGCCGTTCCCCGCAAAACACATAGATTTTCACACAAGAGGAGTGGGCGGCTCGTATCTCACATGTGTGAGAATAGCACCTTGTGTAGGAGCCAGAGAACACGCATTGTACTTACGTGAGAGGTGCCTATTTTGTGCTTGTAGTGGACGGTGTGAAACGAGTTCGTTTTTGGTGTTGTCGGATAATATGAAGATGTGTATTGGCGGGGTTTTGTCCACGGTTTTTATCGCAGATTTTCGTGGAGGTACGCGTGGTCGAGTAGGTCCACGTTGTGACTGAATGCATGTGGGCAGTGCCGACAGTCGACACAAGTGCGGCGGGTGTAGGTTGGGTTTCAAGGCAATGATTTGCTGGTCTCAGTGCGACGGATCAGTAAGTGTCCTATCAGACCGATGCGTGATGTAATGATGCGATCGCAACGAGGACGGGTCGGGATCGAGTCTGCATCGCAATTGGTGAGAGCTGTAGTGATCATGCTAGTGTAGGCAGTGGTGAAGCTGGCGGTCGGCGGGATGCATGTAGTTTTTCACCGATCGCAAGATCCCCTCCGACCAAGCTGAGTAGTTCGCAAACCCCTTCCGGCACGCAGAGGTTGGAATAAAATTCTGCAATAAATGCTGCGCTTGAGTCCAAACCCACGCATTTTGACGTTTTTGGTCACCTGGAAACAGAATGGCCACGGAAGCATGAGATGAGCCAGACGTCGGCCAAATTAACCTCAGACGAAATACCACGAAATCATCAAAACGGGATCCTCCGCGTCCTAACTCCGAAAACAAAGTGGACTGAAAGCAATAAACCTCCACTTCTCACGTTTGGTACTAATTCACCCAAACAGCCAAAAATTTGTATTCATGATGCCATAGTTACTTAGGTCCGATGAGTAATCTCTTCGATGGAGCTGTAAAATGTGGTTGGATCATCCTTTAGCGGTAAAGTCCTCTACTGACAGTAGTCATTTCAAAAGGTGTATAAACATATACTCAGTTGATCGGACGCTGTCAGTCACTGGAACTGGAGGGGCAAACGAACCCAGAGATAGTTGGCGGAACTTTGTCAGGAAAACTTTCAGAAACCAAAATGATGTCAACGCCGAGGCCCATCTAAGTATGTTGAAAGTATCTTAACTCACATATGACAGCTTCCAATGAAAGGGATTTTCAACTCTTTTAGTCGCACAGAAAAGGTTCATTTCTGTCCGGCAGCCAGAATAGATCCATGGACACCACTTAAAATAGTCCCTACCTCTGCTGACGATACCTGGACTTGTGGACATGGTCTGAGGCATGTCACATGCCCTTTTTAGATGTATTTCCTCGCTTGAGAAAAGTCATCAGCTTCAAGTAGCAGGATTTTGATCGGGCATCATTCCTCCTGCGTCGATCCGCGCTACTTATGTGCGCTAATTTCTGTATGTGGATATACTGATAAGAAAGTCATTTTTCGTCTGTCGTCAGAATCCTGATAAGATCATTCATTTGAACTCACACTTGGATTTGAGAAAATATCAGGTGTCTAATCAACATGTACACACAACACCCCCTGACTTCCGATATAGGACAGGAATATCCCCAATTTCAAATAATGTTCATTTATCCGACTTCCTTGCATACGCATTTAGGATAGAATTGCATCCATTAGTTGTGAATACTAAACTGAAAATTTTTCCACCGCCGCCTGTGCTCGGCAACATCCGAACAAACGCTGTTCGTTCCTGCTGTTTTGTCATCATCCCTAGAGAATGGTGGTACGCATGCGGTGAGCCCATTCTTTCTCTCTCTCTGCCTACTGATCCAAATATTCTAACAATGGTAAAGTTTTCCAAATTTTATCTCTTTTTAACTAGTTCTCATCTAGATGCTGGCGATAAACATTTTCAGACATGCACGTTGAACTTCCGTAGACCAAGCCAACACAGGTGGGGAGGGGGGGCGAGAGGGCTGTTCTCAGCAATGCGACGTTAAAATGGATTGTTTTTGCCTGTTTCGACAATAATTGCGTACATTGACCGCGACAAACACCGGTTGATGCTGTGCGTGCGCGGTGACATTTCAGACCCTCCGGCTTCCGCATGACTTTTTGAAGGAAGTGAGTAGGAACTGTCAACGGGACTTCATTGTTGTTCATGCTAACAATGGTTCCCCTGTAAACACAGCGGCGCGTAGGTGCATCGCGCTTGCGTTTAACCAGCAAAAAGGGGAAAACGGTAAATTAAACCTCCAAAAATAGACTTCACGACAGCAGTTAACGCCATTTTTGGGTCGCCCTTAAGGGGCGTTAATAGTCTTTAAATCAATTTATGGGCCGTTCTTAATTATTAGAAAACCATACTCATGTCATCT